TCTCCGTGTTGTCTCGTTGCCACCGAGCCTTGTTTACGGTCCAAACGAAAAAATCTGCCACCGAACACCATACGTGGCAGGAATAATTTCATGCTGTGCAAAATTTGTTTCATTTCACATCCTGTAAGAATAATTACTTAGCATAATGCCACTTAAGCTGTATTTCTAGCTGCAAACATTAAGGAAATGGTAAAAAGCTAGATCCCAGTTGGGAGAAAAAAAGGGTATTTAGGGGTCCCCGGGGTTTCTTAAAACGAGTCGCTTTTAACACCAGGGACAACAAGAAGAATTAAAATGTTGTAAATGATGTCACTGAATTTAAAAACACCATAAACCCCAATATTTTCAATGATATAGGAGGTCATCCGTGTGCTGGGAATCTCGACAGGACACTGCCTTCAGGAGAAGAAGACAAAACACCTGGCCCACGTCGCACATGTTTCTTATGTTTTCTGTAATTAAGATTATTTGCAGGTGACAGTTACCCAAACGGTCCTAAATAAAACAGCAAGTGAAGAAGCTGGATCCTCCTCCTGTCATGTCATTTACCTTAATTTTTACATGATGGAAAATAGGACTCAGAAGGTTTGAAGCGGAGTTGATGCAATGGATGAGCAGGGTGTATTGGCCAAATACCAGCATAAGCTGTGCAAAAAATACCTTAGCACTACAGGGCACTGTGATATACTGTGCCAAAGGAGGCTCCGACCTCCCTCTTGGGCCCCCACAAGAGAAAAAAATCCTCTTTCATATCTAGTCAGAATTATTCATGGTTCACTCCTACCTTCTAACAAAACCAAACTGCAGTCTTCAATCAAATGCAAGACTGGCATGGTCTAATTGAATTAGTTCAATTAAGTTTAAGGATCAAAATTACGATTGTGGATTTTTTAAAAAAATTCAGTTTTCTTGGTGCCAAACGACAGCTTGCAATCAAGTAGCAAATTCTTACTTTTTATTTCCCAATTGTTGGCAGGAAATAATCACTTACAGAGAACTTCTCTGGAGAAGAACCTTACCCTCCTCATTTGTTAACAAGCAATGACAACACTCACATACACCAAGCATCCAGGCTGACCTTCATCTTCCCTGAGGCCATTGTGTCTCTTCCTCACTCACTCACAAAACCCACTTTTCCTGTAGTTTGACCAACAAGGATTTACTGATAAAATTCACTGATAAACAATATGTTTTCACCGCATTTGTTCAACCTGACAAAAGGCAAAATCTCAGATTTGTTAGAAGCAGGTCGTGAAGGTTCGCTGGCTGGCTGGAGGCTGTTAATCACAGTGTACCATCTCCAACCAGTCCTCTGCCGTCACAAACTCCCCCAGCTCCACTCATCTGAACAAAGTTATTCCAATTTATACTCATTTCTTATTTTCACTCCGTTTCAAAAAAGCCTTTATTGAAATGTCAAGTTTGAATATAACAGGAGTGTCAAGAGGCAGCAAGGGAGAAATAATATATTTTAGGAAAAAAAAAAAAGCAACAATTTGGGCATGCAAGTCCTTCTTCTGGCCTGAAACAGGCAGCAGATCATCCCTAGGGAAGTTTTATGAGCAGCAGAGTTCTTCAGATGCCATTTTTTAAAGTGGCTTTACTGCTAAATCAAAGGACATGACAAAAAAGGCCACCGAAACCATCCAAAACCATGCTCCTCTTACATCTTTTTTTTTTTTTCCCCCTCTCCAAAGTTCAGCAAGCTGCTGCTGCGTCTGACCAGCAGCGATGTGTTACAACTCTAAAATACCCACGAGCACTGAAACGCTCCCGGGGAATGGACACCACCATGGTGCCACCAGCACCCTCCACCCTCGCTGCATGGCCCTTCGTGGCCACCAAGCCGGGCAGCATCCCCGCAGCCGCCTGGCAGGGACAACGTCGGGCTTCGTCGGACAGATCCAAACCAAGCAGCCTTTTGGAGGGTACTGACAACGAGGTCTTCATTCCCTACCGCGAGCGGTGCAGGAGCTTTAGCTGCCTCTTTGCTCATGCAGCACTGTGCCAAGCTCCCGATCCTGGAAGACCCTGGAAAGATGGTGAGGGCTCCACTGGGGTACCCACATGCCTTGTTTCATGAGTTCCCCAAATGGGGAGGCTGGGAAACACATCAATAGGATTTTGTGCTCTACAATCCTCAGCTCTATGTCTTCCAGGCAGAGGTCGCCCACGACACTGTCGCTTACCATGCATAAGATGTTTTCACCACCTGGCAAAAGTTTCATTCTTTATTTAAAATTTCCAGTGAGGGGACATGGGTCTAGAGACCAATAAGTACGTTCAAATTAATGCATCATTTATCAAAATCAACATTTAAAAACAATTCACATGAGAACATCCAAGTGCCTCCACGCTGAAATATTTCCCATCAGCAAACCCAAGGATGACTCGAGGGCAGCCAGAATTGTCCCCAGGCATATGGAAACCTCAGCACCACTCTGCTCAAACCTTGAGCGGTTGCAAACCACCAAGAATTTTGGTGTCACCTTACAGATTATCTCCCAGGCTGCTTATGGGAAGTCTGCCCCACAAGCAGGTTTTGGTAACACAGACGTACACATGTAAGACATGTGGATTTCAACTGCATTTCAGGATGGATGGCCCTGTGCCCCATCTGGCTCCGTGATTCTCTTTTAAAGAGCAAATAGAAGTTGCCAACATCCTCATGAAGGACAAGCCCAACAATTTAGCAGTTGCCTTTTTTTTTTCCCCCATAATTTTTTTTTAAACGCAGCATTGAATCTCAACGGGATTTTGGGGTTTTGTTTTAATGGCAAGGCAAAAATTTGCTGATCCTCCCCGTGGTGAAGTTACTTTCAAGTCAGTGAAAGTTCTTGGCCCGCGATGAAAAGTCTTTGCCAATTAGCGCTCAACAACTTCAATTCATCTCTTCTGGTTCAAGATGAGTAGGAACCTAATAAGGCTGCGATAAAAGGGCAAAAGGCACCGAGTACCCAAAGGGGATTAATGGGCTCTTCCATTTATTTGTCTTCCTAACAGCTGAACTGTTACAAGTATTGATGGTCTTCAAACGGCCCGGGCGCTGGGGTCTCCAATGGCCATCTCCAGCTCCCCGGCCCCGAGGGGCGAGGGCTTCCCCCCGGGCGATGCCAAAACCAACAAAGCCCCAGGGATCAGGTAATGAAACTTCAGCTTTTCCCCCCCCCCCCCCCCGCTCCCTTCTTTGAGATTTATTTACTGGCAGCTGACAAGGGGCAAATTCATCTGGAATTGTGTAGTCAAGGCCCTGTCAAGCCTTCAGAGGCACCCTTATGTCGAATCACCTTCCTGACTGGCATGTCGCTGAAAAGCCCTCGGCGCTGGTCCTTAACAGCTCCCGACAGCACAAAGGACACTCCAGACAGATGCCTACATGGCATCCTGCAGCATTTTAAAAGAGAATTAGTGGTTTTAATTATGGTCGTCGTATGAAAGGAAACCATGCAAGCTCGGCAGGAGACCTTTGATCAAACCCTTTTGCTAGCACAATGCCGAGGAACTGTGACTATTCCTAGCAAGGGGCCTTTTCTCGCTGAATGACTCACCAGTGATCTTTGAATGCAGACAAGTTCCTCGCCCTCCCTCTTCATTAGTGAGCATTTCTATACAGGCCCTATATAGTGCGCGGAGTCTCGGAGCTATACAATGGGGGGGAAAAAAGAATCCCTACAGATTTTGGCCTCTACTTAGGAAGTGCTGAAGGACTCTGAGTGACTTTATTCATTAAAACAGGTTGCTATTAATTAACTGTCATAATAAAATAAAGAACTATTATTTGCATTTCTTAGTGCGCTCCCTTTAGTAATATGTATAAAAGATGCTTGTAACAAAAATGAATTTATAAGGGAGAAAAAACCCTCAGAGGTCTTTTTTCCCTCTCCCCCCTCTTTTTTTTTTTTTTTTTTTTTTTTTTTAAGGTCTAGGCAGCAGGAGCCTGACTAATTATTAGGACCAGTTTTGCAAGAGAACAAATAGAGGTAAAACACAAATATGAAAGTAATTAGGAAAATGCAAAATCCTGTTTACTTGGCAACCGATTCATGCAACTGAGACGAACGAAGAGCAAATCAGCTTTGCTTGTTTGATAAACTTAAGGGTGCCACCTAAGAGGAGCTGATAAAAATTAAACTTCTGGCAGCATCCCTCAGCACTGCCTTTTAGAGAACAGGCTCAGAAACATCCACACAACTGCTTCGTCTACAAGCACCAGCAAATCTCATCTGAACAGGCTCAGGGGGCAGAATTTTATAACTTCTATCGCTGTTCAGTATTTTTCTCTTTCCCATCGGCCATCAGGGGTATCTTCGAGCTGAGCACCCAGCACGGACACCCGTACCACACATGCACACGACTCATACGGACACAGCACACGTGAATGGCATGATTGCAACCTGTTCTACTTTGCTCCCTAAAAAAAAAATCATCATTTTTCCACTGTTCTTCACACCTGGGAAGGCTTTTGCCAGTGGGAAAGTTTTCCTTGTAGCTCACATTGCTGCTTATTACAATATATGATGATATGTTACTCGATGCGGGCTGCAGGCTGGGATACCTTTGTCCAGTCCCTCTTTTCTCCTGAGTAGATAGTGGAATCCACAAAAGCTTCCAATTATTTCAAGACTATGCAGCTAAGGAGGGGCATCTAATCAAGATAAAGAAAACCCTTGGCTCAGTATATTTGCTTGAATGGATTTTCAATAATGCAGGTAACAAAAGCATTCAAAAATTGGATTCCTAATGCTTTTCTGCTAGGCTGAAGGACTGATTTTGAGAAGGGAGAAGAAAGCCAGCCCTGAGAAAGCTGCACAGAGGAATGTATGATATTCCCCCCGCTCTGTACAAACACTTCTGTGGGGATTGAGAAAAAGGAAGAGATTTAAGTGAGGCACGGTCGACCTGAAATGTAGTCAATTACAACACAAAGAGTTAAAATGACACCCCTGAACCGCTCCTCATCCTCCTCTCCCCTCTGCTTTGTGGCTTTGCAACTCAGAAGCCAGAGTTTTCTTTCTTTTTATTGCTCATTTCTCATCCGCTGTTTGTACAGGAATCATTTATAGAAGTAACAGGGGGAATTGCTATGGAAATCATACTATGAAAATAAATTGGAATGAGAGGGAGAAAAATAGAAGATATTATTTTGCAACTGAAGTTACAGATTCCTAGACAGCAGCTTGATTTTTATACAGCCAGCATTCAATGAAAGTCAATCTGGGAATATCAACACTTGTAGAGAACAATAAAAATAGGCTACTTTTAAAAGGAACTATTAGGATTAGTAGCCACACAAGCGTAAATCTGCACCTCCATGCACTTCAAACTAGAGACTAACAGAGCACTCCCGTGCATCCCCCCTCGCTCCTGCATCCTGATCTGCTCTGCTGAGCCTCTGGGAAGCTTCCAGAGGTGCCACTTGATAACACGGTCTTTACAGAAGAACTTCTTTCTTCTTTGAAAATTCTCCTAGTCCAAATGATATCCTGGCCTGGAGGCAATTTGTCTCCTATCAAACAGTGGGCTGAGATCTCACGGAACCACAGAACAAAGTACGAAAATTTAGATGCACACAACTTTCCAGGAACAATACCAGAGGTTTGGGGCTGTTTTAAGCATTTGAAGTACATGTTAATTGACAACTTTTTGAAAAACATACTATTTTATGTCTTTTATTTTTAGAAAACCAGTAGCTGAGCTCGTTAACCAAGCTGCTTGGCTTTTGGGGTAGATTGAAAAGCAGGAGGGATTCACACTCCGTTCTTTTGGTTAAAGTCCCTGTCACCTCTAAAACTGCAGTTCTGGCATCCTCTGTACCTGCGAGGACGTGGCAGAGTAGATGAGTACCTATGGACTTGCACAGAAGGAGGCCACGGCACAGATGCCACGAGGCACGTGGAGAGCAGTGTCCCAGGGGGGCTGATCTCGTGTCCCCACGCAGGGTCTCAGCACCACGGTCCCTCTGCCCCAGGGAGGAGATGCCACGCTGCTGCCTACAGTCACGGCGCTCTGCAAGAGAAAACACACAAATTGCTTGGCTCAATGTTGAAAAACTACAGCAATATAGTCTACCCCAACATAAAATCTCAGTGTAATGAAAATAACCATCCCTGAGAAGCAAGGGAGGCAGAAAGAGCTGGGTTGGTCTCTCCCCAACATCCCACACCAGCAGGACATCGTGCCTGCAGCACCCCTGGGCACAGGGCACATCCAAACCAGTGAACCTGTGAAGGGCACCATCCCATATGCTTGTCCTGATGGAAACCTACCCAACCGTGCTGCCCCAGGACCATAAAAACACACAGACACAGCACGGCTAAAGCAAAATGGCTGTAGAAAACCTCTTGGCTCAGTAACAGAAGAAACATTTAAAGGCTAAACAAATTTTTGGCATCTATAAAAGATGCTGCATCCATTAAAAAAAAACAACCAACCAAACAAGAAACCCCAGATATCTTCACAGTACAACAGATTCGCAGGTTTAAAAGAAAACTCTCCTTTTTGAAACAGAATATTTTATTTAATGATGAGCTTTCCCCCCCACCTCCCCCCAAAACACCACAAATAGTTCATTTGGCAACAGCAATCAAAGACCGAACAACAGTACGTTCCTGCAGAGGCAATCACACTTGATTTCCTCTCCGCTGCCACTTCTGTCGCCTTATAAAACCATTCTCATGTTGTCAAGGAATAATTCAGATTTTAAGTCCTGACTTCGAAATTTCAGCACATGCGTGAAGGACCGGGCACTAGCCAGCTTGCCGCCTCAGATCTTCTTTCATTTTCCTCAGCCCCTGCAGCTCTTTCTTCAGGTGCTTCACAGCCTGCAGAATATCCTGCCGCTGGGGATCATCCTCCGCTTTCTGGGTGTACAAAAGGAAATGTTTCACAGTTTCAGAGAGCAACGCTTCAGGATCCATATCCACCCGACGGAGACGCAACATCCTCTCGCAGGCGATGGCGTAGTTTTTGTGCCAGTTCACTGGGTGATTTGGATGAGAGTTGACAATTTCTTTGTACAACTGTTAAAAGGACAAAAAAAAAAAAAAAAAAGTAAGTGGGACAAATTAATTGAACGAAGGGGAGCAACAGCTCTTAGCAGGGCTTCAAAACTGCCTGTAAAGGAACAGATGTTATTTAGATGTCCACATCCAGAGTCGGAGCGTTTCTGTAACTCACTCCATGTTTGCCATGCGATGCGCAATAGCATGAATCAGAAATCCAAGAGGGGCTGAAATGTTTCCCTTCCTACAGGAGCTGTTTGTTTAGAAATGTTACAGATGACCATGGTAACCCCGCCACACATTCTGTGCTTCCCCAAGAGAGGTGTTACCCCAAGCTGGGGAAAAAAAGAGATATAACTGCTGCGCCTGGAAAGACATTTACTCAATATTTCAGGAGATCAGCACGTCTTCCACAGGACTTAAGCAGTCTTGTTGACTTGAGGGGGAATATTCATAAGATCAACAGCAGGCACATGTCTGAGAACTTTGCAGAACAGCAAAAATCACAGCAAAAGGGGCAAGAGTTGAAAATCAACTATTTGCTGACTCTTTGCAGGGATATGAACCATTCCTCCTCTTGCTGACATACACTGATTGTTTTATGCATCTGTTGGCATCTCAGGCAGTCCAGTATTTCCAGAGATACCTACTCCAGCTTATGGGTGTTATTCTTTGGTGTGAAATGCAGCAGAATTAATCTGCAGTGAGAAGACTGTCGGATTTTACACTTGCTGGCTCAGATGCATGACTGTGTAATGACAGAGAGGACAAGTGCATAGAGGGGACTTCAGGACAAGCAATCTCTTGGCATGGGTTTGCTGCCCAGCACAGACAACATAATTAGAGCAAAAGCAGGGTGTTGATTGGTTAGCTTCTGGCATCCTCTGTGACCGAGGGGGCAAGTAGGAATGGATAAAATCCCTGAATAAATCTCTCTGAATCTGCCACGCTCCCAGTTTGGATGAATGAAGGAGAATACAGATTACAGGACTGACAACCTATATGGGAACACTGTATTTCTGTGGAATTGAAAAATGAAAAGGAAAGAAGAAAGGAAAAGAAAAGAAAGGAAGAAAAGAAAAAGAAAAGAAAAAGAGAAGAAAAGAGAATAAAAGGAAGAGAAGAGAAGAGAAGAGAAGAGAAGAGAAGAGAAGAGAAGAGAAGAGAAGAGAAGAGAAGAGAAGAGAAGAGAAGAGAAGAGAAGAGAAGAGAAGAGAAGAGAAGAGAAGAGAAGAGAAGAGAAGAGAAGAGAAGAGAAGAGAAGAGAAGAGAAGAGAAGAGAAGAGAAGAGAAAAAAGAAAAGAAAAGAAAAGAAAAGAAAAGAAAAGAAAAAAAAGAAAAGAAAAGAAAAGAAAAGAAAAGAAAAGAAAAGAAAAGAAAAGAAAAGAAAAGAAAAGAAAAGAAAAGAAAAGAAAAGAAAAGAAAAGAAAAGAAAAGAAAAGAAAAGAAAAGAAAAGAAAAGAAAAGAAAAGAAAAGAAAAGAAAAGAAAAGAAAAGAAAAGAAAAGAAAAGAAAAGAAAAGAAAAGAAAGAAAAGAAAAGAAAAGAAAAGAAAAGAAAAGAAAAGAAAAAAAAGGAAAAAGGAAAGAGGAAAAAAGAGTGGAGACTGCAGGGATCATTCATAACCAAAATACATGACTTACCATGTATGCGAATGTGTAAAGTTGTGATTTCATTTCTGCAGACACACTGGCAGTTTCTGCAAGGTCAAATATAAAGAAAGCTGTTTTCATCCTAGAAAAAGAAGAAAAACTCCCATGTAATAACTGCTTAACATAACCAGCTCACATCCCGTGGTTACATACACATCTCCAACATGTCCATATGTGGGACAGTACAGCAGCATCTCCATTTAAGTCATCAGCGATACAAACTTCTCTCCATGATGTATTTTCTCACCCTACGTCCCAATTACCCTCTGCTCCTTCAAGATACTTTGAGCAGAACCTCTAGTGAAGAAAATGACCGCTGTCCTGAAGGATTTGCCAGAGGCCATGCGCGCTTCGTCTCAATCTGCCAGCCTTTTCCTCCCACAGCTTGGCACATTTAGATCCGATAAGGCCACGCACCATCAAGCTGCCCGCTTTGGTGTGTATTTCCACACCAGTGAGTTGGCATCACCCACCGGCTGTTGGAAGGAAGCAAAGGAGCATCACCTGGCTTGCCACATCTCCTCGTTGGCAACAGCTTCCCAGGAAGAGGGCTTGAAACTAAACGGGAGGGAGAATAAAATTCAGCCATCAGATCCATGTCATTGTGTTTCACCCACCGCACAATCAACCCGTCTAACCCAGGCAGCTACAGACCTCCCAGGCAGACAAAAACCCATCATGAAGCCTGTGGCTCTGACAGCAGGAAATTCAGCTGATCCTCAGTCATTCATAAAACTTTACTCCTCTCTCTCCATAGAAGGAGCCTCTGGTATATCAGGTGTTTCACAGCATCCTAGCTATCCGCAAAGTGAGAGGTGCTTTTTACCACCCATCACAGTTCAGTCTCTGACATTTAAAGCTTTGTACGTCCCAAGTCCTCAATGTTTTTTGGCTCCTGATCAAGTTTTAAGATCAGGATTGGACCTGGTATTTGACTAGAATTGTCCTTCCTATTTTTAATATTAATAGAAATACCACATGCGGTATTATATATTCCAGAACACAAAACATCATGATTATGGCTCATGTTTAATTTCTCTAACGCTGCAATGGATGTGCCTACGCTGCTGGCAGGAAAAACGATGAGCAGGAAGGAGCAGAGCCACCTCTCCCTCATACCTGCCATAGTCTTCAGTCCAGTTATAGAGATTTCTTGTAAGATGAATCCATTCTCCTGGGTCAAAGACAGCATCAGAAGGAACCAACTTTTCACACGTACCCCATGGCCAGAGCGAATAGCTCCTTCTCCAGGTCGAGTCACCTTCATGAAGACCTATGCAGACAAACACTTCCTTACTGTCAAAAAACAAACAAACAAACAAACAAACAAAGAGAGCAATCGTGAAGCCATGCCAGAGACCGTGGGCCACCCTGCACGCTTGAGCAAACCACACACCCCACACCAGGGCAGCAGACAGGCCTTAAGCAGCACAACATTTTCTGCAGCGCGGATACCCATCCCGACCGTTTCACATGAGAAAGAGCGTGTCTCTGGGTCAGCCTGCGAAACAGCTTGCCTGCTGCAAGCGAACGCCCCATCTGGCATTGCACATCTTGTGCGGCCAGCACGGGAGACACATCCTCTCCCCTTTGTTGGACCTCACAAATGTGCCAGAAGCCGTAGGAGAAGCCCGTTTCTCCCCCGTGGCACCTGGCAAGGCTTTTCTGCCTACCCACGCTCGCAAGGCTCACCCTGGCTAGTCTAAATGCAGATGCTATTCTTATTCATGTGAGTATCTAATCCTTTCTCCACTCTTACTAAGCTATTTTTATATGATGATTATTCCTGGAATACATTCATTCTATGCTAATCAGTTGGCCACAACGTTCACGAAGGAGAAGCAGCAGCAATTTGCTCTCCAACCATCGTCATTCTGAGTACATGGGAATGTTCTTTTTTCATGATGAATTGTATCAACAACAACAACAAAAATAATCAGTAAATGGTCACTGTTGATCACCTTCTTATTTTTCCTTCCTAAAAACCAGACCAACCTCAAAACAACAAGCAGCATTATATCCGGATGGAGTTACTTCTGCACAGATATTTGCTTTAATTGCAAAAATAATCTCGCCACCGGGGAGGAAGTCAGTGGAGAAAATTGGTCTTTTGGATGCAGTACCAAGCTGTTCCATAAACAGTTTCAAGAAAAAAAAGGTCGAAGATTTTAGGAAAGCTGTTACATATGAAATAAATGCTTACTGTTTATTTACTTTGAGGAAATGATGGAGATTAAAAGCAATTGTCCCATCGGGTAATACTCTTTCCACAGGATTCCACCGGTTCCCAGGAAAATAAACTCCAGGTAAATGCTTTGCCAGCTTGGGTAAATACCATTCATATGTCATCATCTATCACCAAAAATATTATCATAATTAAAGCAAGAAACAAAGTTTTCATCCATTTTACATACAGAAGAAGCGGTTTCTGCAAGAGTTCGGTAAAGTCACCTCCCATTTCAGCAATGGGCTGGGACCACACCACCAGAGCAGGCTACCAGTGGTTTCTGATCAGGGGCATGTGATCCTCACTGCTGAGCAGGCAAAACTAACGAAAACCAAAACAGCTACTGCTGGTAAGAGACACAAGGTTTGGTTAAATACAAGGTGTTGGGTTTTGAGCTTCCCAACAAGTCACAAACTCTTGTTGCAAAGCCAAGTGGAAGGACTGATGTGGCAGTGGAAGTGCAGGTGTCCCCTCCTGTAAGGGGCTTTTTGTCTTCTTCCATTTCTCAGGAAAAAAGGAAAGAGTTCAACCACCACCCGGGGACACACAGCACCTCCGTTTTAATGTAAAAAATAGAGGCAAAAGTCTGCAAAACTACCTTTGGGGGACCAAGGTAACGGAGGTGATGCAGGGAATGAGCCTCAGCATGGTAAAGCCCTTGGGAGAATCCCTGAAACCGCATCACCCACGGGGCAGCTGCTGACCTGCAGCCCTCTAGGCTGCTCCCAGAAGCCCTCGGCTGCCCCAACATCTGTAATTCAGGGAAATCACAGAAAACAGCAGGGACAGAGCTTCCACTGCAAGGCAAGCATCAGCCCCGTGCCACATCTGGATATCTGTCGTGATGAAGAACTTCGGCTTCCCTGACTCTCCACCCACTGTTGCCTCCCTGTTGGCTTTTTGGGCTTGACTGGGTCTTGCACACCACGCTCTATCCCAGAGCCACCCACAAGCCTTTTAAAAAGAAATCATTTTATTTATTTCTGCATCATGAGTTTTATTAGAACAAAGAGACTCCCTCAAGGAGAGAAAGGAACAAATGAACTTTTGCTTCCTGTTCTTAAATCTGCCCGTTGCCTCTTTTAATATTACTTTCTGAACCTACCTCCTGGTCCACTAAGGTGATATCTGGCCTCATTCCTTCACAATAATGAAGGTAACGAAGAGCATTCCCAGGTAAGTCTCCTCTTAGCAAGATCACTGCACCCACTGGCATAGAGGACAGAAGATTCCTTGCAAACTTATCAACAACGTAGTTGTTGCTCTGATCACAAGTGCTTAAGAGAAGAGATAAAAAGCAGTATCTTAAAAACAGGTATTTGCATGGCTTAGCATGTCTTCAGAACAAATTTATGCAATGGGTATCCACCGGGGAAGTCCACCCTGGTCAGATCTTGCTGGAAAGCATCATCTCCATTTGCAGGGACACCGAGATACAGAAATGAAGCATTTAGACTACAGTCCCCCAGAAACCAGCACCAGGGACATAAGCCACTACAGTTTTGCCAAAATATACACTGACTGCACGCCTTCACCTTAATTCTGATTTTTTTCTTGGGTTAAACCTAAAGACTTACTAGTTGGTGTTGGAAGTACCAGTCCAATGATGGTTGAAATCCTCCTCATCCTTTCAATACTTTTAATTAAGCATTAAAAAGCCAAGTTTTTGTAGCATCGGGCAGAAGTAGATTTACATTACCTGAGGTTGGATCCTTTTCGTTACACAGCTGTGTGTGCACACACTCCAGGTGTGGGCTCAAGAAGAGGACACTCCATGATGTGGCTCAGGACATGAGCTATGACTGGCTCACCTACGGACCAGCCTTTGGAAAAAGAGGTGTGCAAAGGAAGGATCTCCATACTTTGAAGTCTACACTTTATTGGTCAACCTCTACTCGAGCACCCCTACTACTACACTGATTCCCAAGCCACTGCAGAGCCGTCAGCATGGTTATGGGATAAGGAAGCCCTACATTACAGATCTAATTTTTCAAAAAGGAAAAAAAAGTAAGAAAAAACCCCAGGGCACAATGTGTCCTGAAGCAAAGCAAGAGAAGGAGGTGACTATTCAGGTCAAATGAATTCTGTAGACCTTCTTAGGAAATAAAGCACAGATTTACAAGTTTCTTCCATTAGAAGTTTACGTATCTACACAGTTTTCTTCCTTCAACCTACATGATACCCCCATTCACAGCCTGGAGTTGGTGCCCCGTGATTTTGAGGGAGATCAAACAAGGGAGCCCTGCAGGCTGTGACCACGCAAGCTTAGGTGGGACGTGAAAAGTGCCTTTCCCACTCCAAGACAAGGACAGAAATGCCAGCAGCAGGGTGGGGGGTTTACAGCAGCATCCCAACCGCACAGCACCCCGCAGCCCCGCGAGGCTGCACCAAAACACGTGCCCGGGGCGTTTGTTACCTGTAATTTGCCCAAACTTGAGAAGTGACAAGAGCGAGAGCAGAAAGCCACTCCAGCCACGGCAGCACCCGGCTGCCCTCCAGCACGGCGCTGCCGGCCGAGGGGAGTGTGGCCAGCCCCAGCCCCGCCAGCACAGCCACCACCGCACTGCTCTGCAGCCAGAATCGCTCCACCTAGGAAACAAAACCCCAGAGACCCTATTTCTGTTTCCCCAGCTATGAGGAAACAGAACAAGCAGCTGTATTTTTGCACCTTACACAGCCTCAAGACAACCGATCGGGTGGTTTTAAGGCTTCTTCCAAAAATTAACAAGCCAGAGCAATTTTTGGAGTGCAACTTACCACGCCCAGAAACAGAGGTTTTGTAATATCCAAATTTGCCCTCCAAGCAAAGAAGAGGGAATAAAGACAGAGCATTCCAGCGAAGAGCCAGATCACAAGTGATTTCTGCTGCTTTGTCCTATAAAAAAAATAATGTTACACTCTAGTGGCACGACAAAAGAGGAGACAAAAATTATATATGTTTGAAAACCACTCTCTCTCTGCATACCTAAATGCGTTTAATAGCTGATGAGCCTTTTTTTACCTTTGCGATTTATGAAACTTGTTTTCAAAGCACAAAACCATCAGGATTTTCAGATTTTTAAGCCTGCCATCTACAAAGCCATAGGGTTACCAGGAGCAGGGATATTTTGCTCTTAATTAATAGATGTCTGCAGCCAATTGCTGAATTTTTTGCACCAGCAAGCAGAAGGCAAAGACAGCTGCTCATGCAGCCAGTAAGAAAGTGCATGTCAGAGCAACTATTCTCCTCCAACTTACGGCAGGGCTGTGCTCACGCAGGCCACGAGTGCCAGGGCGAGGACAGGAAGGGAGAGCTCCGACTTCGTATGCGCCAGCTGAAACCTGAGGAGAAATTAGTGCATGGATGGGTCATCCCCAAATCGCCCCTTGCACTCAATTAAAGTGTCAAGAGAAGCAGGGAATAAGCACAACATAACATATTCCCATTCTGCTGTGATTAAGTCTACCAGAAATGGGAACAAGCTTGGTTTACGTGTCAGGATTTTGAGTGAAAAAACACCGGGGAGGGGGACCCAGCATTTTTACTTCAGTGGGGAAGACAGACGGACATGCATGCTGGCCCTGCACAGGACACACACAGCCCCAGCTCTGGACCAAGCCGAGGAAAGGCAGGACAGGAGCCACTTTGGCCAAAATGACAGCAGCAGCAACAGGTTTCACTCCACTAAAAGGCACAGTCAAGATTTTACTCACACCAGCATCTCTCTCATACTGGATCCTGTCTCGGACTTGGCCTAGATTAAAAAGAAAGAAAAGCCATGAGAAACCCACACGCTGATTGTCATATCACTGGGGCAAGGAAAAGTCTTTTCATTTTCTGTTTGCAGAGCCCTGAGCACACAGGGCTCCTCAAAATCCCTTCAGGCGGTACCCCAAGGTGGGCACCAGGAACAGGAATTGCTAAAACAACAAAAAGACAGCAAAATTCTACTCAAACCTTCATTGCAATATTTTCTCTCATGTTTTTGTTTTACATTATGCCACTGTGTAGGGTTTACCACCTGGATTACCATTTTTTCAAGGTGCTACCAACCCATCACCCTGTGACTCAAGCACATCATTTGGTTCAGCTAAGATCTCCGCAGCGTCATAGAAACACAGAATCGTTTAGGTTGGAAAAGACCTTTAAGATCATCGAGTCCAACTGCAAACCTAACACTGCCAAGCCCACCACTAAACCATGTTCCTAAGCATCACATATACGTCTTAGAAATACCTCTGGGGATGGTGACTCCACCACTTCCCTGGGCAGCCTGTTCCCATGGTTCATAATCCTTTCAGTGAAGAAAGTTTTCCTAATATCCAATCTAAACCTCCCCTGGCACAACTTAAGGCTGTTTCCTCTTATATCTGCATTGTGCAACTACTTTCTGGGACATCTCCCCACAGCCTGAGTCAATCACGTGGGCCTCAATTCCTGCTTGCTTACCAGTCTTGCCCCTGTCCCCTCTGCCCTGACAGAGGCAGAGCTGTATGAGATTTATGAGAGACATAAGAATTTTTATTGCAGAGACTTGCAATCCATGACACAAGTCTGGGAAAGAAGACATGCTTGGTCGAGGTGAGGAATTACCTTCATAGGTGCTTGTTGGAAAAGTGGTGGCTACCAGATAAGGTAAATGGATCCAGGAGGTCTGGAAGGAATTTTTAATCTCAATAAAAGTAGAACAGTTACTTGTATTCAAGATTTAACTAAAAAACACAAGTGTTAGGGGATGGAGAGCCAGCCTGCAGCTCCTGAAGCACCACTACTATCTCTCTGTTTTTTGCAAAGCCCCACCTTGCTGGCAGTTGATGGCTTCTGGCCCCAGACACATCCCTTGCACAAGATGACATTTTTGATCCCTGGCTTATAGGTGGAACCTTCTCCTGAGCCTTTTCTCTGTTTTGTTTTTTTTTTTTTTTGTCCCTGCCTTCCCTTAAAATGGAGCCATGGGGCACAAGGGCTGTCTGTCCATCCAGGCAGGGCTCTGGCATTAGCCCAACTGATGGCAGGACCAAACGCTTGGATTTTGCTGCATTTATTGCTCCTGCTTCAGACAAGTTCATCATAAACGTGACTTGTGGTGTAGGATTACACACAGTCCATCCCTAAGCCTCCTGAACATCAATTTCAATTCATCACATTTGATGGAGAAAGGAGTTAAGGGATTTGCATGTCTTGGTATTGCTCTGCCCAACAGAGTCTCATTCTCAGGAGACAGCTGGGAATAGGACAACAGGCAAAACCTCGGAAGTCCTTCAGAGAGTGGATCTTATCTCTGTTGGAGTTTTGGAAAGATTAAGTGGCAGCAGCAGGAATTATCAAGTCTTTTGCCTCACAGCCTCCAGCCACCCAGCATTCCGAGAAGGCTGTAATGGAACGGCAACGGTGCTCACTGCATCACGTTGGCTGGATGCAGGGACTTAATTTCTGAGGACGCGGGGCTTTGGGATCCCAGGGAGGGACACAATATGTAAACCATGCCTTTTTCTTTTTTTTCCTCCCAATGATGCGATTTCCCAGCCCTTTGCACTGAAATCTCTGAAGCAGGAAGGACAGAAGGGGTGCTGGGCACTTGCTCTCCTTGGGTGGCCAGAGTCAAACATCTCAGTCAGGGCTGGAGGAGGCAGATGTAAACCCTATGCTCAGCAAGCAACCACGTAATACCTCCTTCCCTTGGCAAGAGCACAGATCTGCCAGTAACTCAAATCAGAGGTTTCTGAGAGCCCTCAAACCTACCATTCATTTAAATTCAATATTAGTAAGAAGTAAGTTAAGAGGAATCTTTTTTAAAGGTACAGCAATGAAAAACGCTTGCAACCCCTTGAAATAGCTGAGCTTAAAATAAAAAAATAGAGATAATTATTCATCTTAAAACAAGAAAAACACAAAATTGATGTCACCGTCTCTCTCTAGAACAGTTTGCTCTCTGGGTTCTTACAAATATGAGACACCTGTACAGCTCCCAGTATATAATACAGCTCACCCCATAAAGGCAAAGAGAATTATTTCTTTGCTTTCCCAACCACACGATCCATTCCCAGAAAACCTGACAGATCAGAAGGTCAAAATCAGAAATAAATTTTTTAAAAAGAAAACATTTTCAATTTCTTTCCCTGCAAGCCATTAAGCATCACAAACAGAAAGGTCCTGCTATTGCATATGTTTAAAGAAAGTCATTTAGAAAATGACTCTTATTTACCAGATTGAATGTCCCATATTCTTCCCTGAGAAAGTGGGTCAAAAATCCTCGAAAAGTCGTCTGGTCTCCCCATGTCCAACGGGCTCGATTGAGGTAGGATGACGCCGGCAGATAGAGATAAGGCAGCAAACCAGCCAAGAAGCATAAACCCAACTTCAGCAAATGGCCTAGGGACAATTCCTGCACCAAAATATGTCATATTGCATAACAATGTTTATTTTAGTTTAATCACGCTGGAACTTCAAGAACAGATAAAGAAAAAACATCAAATATATTTACACAGAGCTGATCTCTCAATTTATAGTAAGTCCCTACAAAATGCTATGTTAAACCTTACGATTTTGTGGATTACTAGGAAACTGCATCAAACTGATCTCCTTTGCATGGCAGGGTGAAATTTAAGTGAAGCAAATAATATTAGCTAGGACTCATGAGTATCATACTCATTGCATCTTTCACATTTAAATCATGGCATGACATGCATAGATGGCTGAAGCACTGCAAGGCTGAGATAACCCACTTTGCAGTGATTAAGAGTTGGCTGGTATTCCATCTGGCAAAAAAAAAAAAAAAAATGCTGCTCTAGTACAACTACACACATCACCACCATCATCAGGAGTCAGTTTTGCCATTTACTTTATCATGATTATACTGGCTAAATTGGATAGGCCAACTTTTGGGGTGGGATTTTCAAGACTGCCTAAGGGGTCAGGAAGACAAGACTTTCAAAGGGACTTCTGTGCCTAACTCCTTTAAGTGCTTTGGAAAATCCCACCCTAGAATACTGCATGCTTGCTTTATCATTAGCCACTGAGCTGTCAATCAGAGCACTTCTTCAGTAGCTGGGGTTATAGGGAAGAGGCACCACTCAGATTGATGATCTAAGGAGCAGAAAAGGTAGCTTGGTAATGGTGGTGGCCAAAGTTCCTTCAGAAGGCGGCTGGCTCTTTTTTACCTAAAAAGGAACTGTTTTCCACCAAATATCCTTCATATTAGGTTTTCTGCAGCAGGCACCACTGGGCTGTCAAAGTATTTCCCAGAAATATTATATTGGCACAGGATTGTCCTTGCTAGAAATCACAGAAGTCTCTCTGGATCTCCCCAGTTAAAAAAAAACACACAAACTCGGTTAAAGAACACAGATATACTGCAGAAGTGAGTCTTCATTGTGTTAAAGGAAATATGTACTCAGAAAGGGGTTTGCTTGAGATGCTGAACACATTTTGGATCAAGCTTGTCTGAGCTGCATCTCATCTCTTGCAGCTTGCGTGCTTCACTCCAGGCTTAGTTATACCCTGTGCCATTACTCAGAACCCCACCTGATGTATCAGGCTGAGGGTGGAAAAACACAGGCAGGACCGGCCCAGCAGAAACCTGCCCAACTGTCACCTTCAGGGGGACGAAAAGGAGGGGGGGGGAGTAGCTGGAGGCTTCTCAGGGCCACTTGCAAAGTGATCGGAGCATCTACATCACTGAGGTGTGCAGCTGTTTTCAGGGCAAAGTAGAATTTCTACAACACGTCTACATCCAGCCTGATGCATTGACTCAGAAGATCACCTACAGAAGGCAAGAGCACTGCAGGGCCCCCCGACATCACCTGGGAGCTTCGTCCAGAGAGATGCACATCACCTTCATAAGGCAGGCGTGCCAGAAGGTGTTTTCACCTTCTTCCACAACTAGCAAGCTTAATGAAAGAGGTGTGGAAGGAGGGACATCTTGAGAATGGCATCTCTGGTAGGAGATGAAAGCGACGTATTTGACCAGACCAGGGGCTCGCTGTTTCAGCCTCCCTTCGGTCTCTTCCAGCTGGTGTGAGCCAGGTGCTCTTCACCTGAGAGCTGATCTCTTGTGGGACTCACAATTTCTGGCTGCATCAGAGCTGGAGGCATGCCCCAAGGAGATGCTCAAGAGGACTTTCCCCTAGAGACAAGCATCTGCACCCTTAGGGCTGTGCTGCTTATTCTGGCCTTTAATTATCAACAGCAGTTGCCAGACGCTCTGTAACGAGGAGACACAGCTTTTGTTTGGTACCACCAGGGAATCAACATAGAGAAACTCATCTCCAGATGAGCTGATGGCATGAGAAAGCCTGTGCCATCAGCCAAGAGAAGCAGTGCACACTGACTGCACGTGCCTGTGACTTCTCACCACCAGATATTTATCTGCTTTCCCGTTTGGTAGGTCACTGAACATACTCTTGATTTCCTACATGCTGAGCAGTGTTTAGCTCTGAGTATCAGTCTCGTGGCTGCTCACAGGGTATCTGCAAGCAGCTGGGGCAGAGTGCTCCTGTGCCAGGAGACACGGGCAGGTCACAGATTGCTGGTGTGAGCAAAGCCCCTAAATTGTGATCGGTGGCTCTGGTGTCAGACTGATGGACTCTAACTTCAGTGGGTTAAGACCGACTAGTTCAGACAAACCATTGACTGTCCCTGTTTGTACATCAACACAGAAGTGTCACAAGTGCTTAAAAAGAAGAATTACTAACAGCCTTACAAAAATAGAGGCCCAGGTCAGCAAAATACGTACCGTCTTTCTGAAAAGCTGGGAGAGAATCCAAGGCACAATACAAGCGATATAAAGCACTATTGTGTGCTGATTGCACAAGCTGAGCCCACAGCAAAAGGCACCAAGTTTAGAAATCTGAAAGGGGGAAAAAACCCAAACACATCCACAATTAATCTTTACAGTTTGCAAAAACTTCCAGAGACCAAAAGAGCTTCAGTGCAGCGCATGACATGCTTACAGGAGAAAGGCAAATACATCAGTGAGCACCAGTCAATTGCAACACAGATAGCACAGGATATTTTTAATTATTTACAGGGAGATTTAATTTGTTTAATGGAAAACATTATTTAAGAAGCATCCAGCACAACAGCTATGATGTCTCCATGCACACAAAGATCATCTGTAGAACCATCATGTCATAATGATGTGGCAGGGTTCAGGAACCGAACCCCACCTACACAGGGGAGACTGCCCAGCAGTTAACTCCAAATAATGCAAAGTTTTCAGAAGCCATACCCTCAAATAATGCCATTATGTACAGAGATCTTGTTTTATATAACAGCAATGATTTTTTCCTTTTCTTCAGGCACAGAGGGCTGAAGTCAGGGCTGCACAAACTTCCTAAGCAAAGGGAATTAAATGTGATATCCCTCATTCCTCTAAAATCTCATTTTCAAGCATCTTCGAAAGAGTTTTCTGATAAAACAGGTAACCTATCCAGACTATGCAGTGCTGTGCAGGATATTTTGGGTACTCGCTGAGGATTATTCATGGGTTTGTTATTGGTACCATGGCCATCCCTGGCTGATGCTAAGGAAAGCCTCTCTGTCCCATGCTGCCATATGCTCTGCTCTGTCCCAACACCATCAGACCAGTGCTGAGTCTTCTTTGTTCAGCGAGGGAGCTTCTCCTCTGAATTTGCCTCTTCCTCCACCATTACTGACCACCTGGTCCGTGTCACAACCTGGAGCCATGCCCCCAGGGGAGCAACTTGGCAGGCAAAAAGCCACCAAAGTCCCACAGACATTGCTGGACAGGAGCCGACAACCCATCCTCACCTTCCCAGCCACCCCCAAGAAGGATGGTACTGCCATCTACCATCAGAGCATCACTCCTGCTTATTTCAGTCACTGGCGAGGACAGAGATGCAAACACTTGCCTTGGTGCGGTGGTGGCATCACCTGGTAATTTTTAATTGACTGTCCAGCATTCGCTGTTGAGTGCTGCCTTGCCAGGGAAACACCTGCCATAAATTCTGAAATACATTTGCGGGCTTCAGAGCTGCCCTGCAGGACTCAGAACAACCTCAGTAATTTTTTAAGTATATTGATGAACTCCAAGTACACCCTTGAAGATGTCTGCACAACCATCTAATTTAGGAAAAGCACTGTAAGCTTTCTGTTGGCAGCCTGGCTTCTTCAAGGCATGGGACACCAGATACCCAAAAAACATAGAAAGAAACTCCTTAACTGCTTCTGAAATCTCATCTGAATACCCCATTGGAAATTGGGCATGTGAAACGTAGAAGCTGGTTGGAAAATGGCCAGTTCCATCTTTGTGGAGTTCAGGCTGTAGGGATCTTGGGACAGTACTCATCAGAAAAGGAAAAAAAAATCCAATGGTGAAGCAAGGTCTCTATAAGCACTGATAAAACATGTTATTTGAGAACTTGCGAAGCTGAGTAAACTACCACTGTGGACTCCTGAAATTCTAGCCTAGCCCAACAAAAATCCTTTTATTCACACAATTTACAGGAGTCACAGCAGGCAAGTCTGTGAGAGGAGAAGAGATCAGATATTCAGACAAACAGAAGACGGCTGAGTAAAAATATCATTTGGCTGACTAGTCTGTTTATGAAGTAGAGAATATAGCATGAAATTTAAAGTCTCTGTATTTAACAATGCCATTAGTTTAGGGGCACATTTAATTTCAAAAGAAGACCTGATTGAAAATTTGGTCATTTCTCTTTTTCGGTAGAAAACTGGGTTTCTCACTAGATGAAGTTTTCTGTAAAAAGTATCTATTTACCCCAAAGAAAAATATCAGTTCTGGAAACAAAAACTTGAACACCCACAGACTAGTTTGGGTCTTTGATGCAGGAAACCAAACTCTGCACTAAAACATTTACATGAAAATTATTTTGCTTTTCTTGTTTCCACTCTGTGTGTATTAAACAAACCAACCCCAAACCCATCCAACAGGTCCAACTCAATCCTTAAGCAAAGTGGACAGGTTTTTCAGTATTTGTCACTTTTGAATATCCAGGTAGGTCAGGGATGGACACCACCCAGCACAGGTGCTGAACAGGTCCCAAAATCTGGCCTTCTTTAAATAAACAGAACTAAATCAGCATTAAATGAATAGGAGATTCAACAGACGTGTGATAACTAATTGAAAAAAAAATAAAGAAGTACTAACTTTCCTTGAGATGTTTTACCTTTGATCTCTCTTTTGCAGTAGATGCCTCCTCAAAATGCACAGTGAGAGCCATCAGCAGCCCCACAAACAGATTGTTTAAGCTAAAAACCTCCGCCGCGATGGACCACTGCCATGTTAGACGAGAAAATGAAAACACCCCCGCAGCAAGGATTCCTCCAGCATATGAGCCAGAAAGCCTGCAAACACAGATAACATGAAATCTTCTTTTCCAACAAAAAAGCCTACTTTATTGTCCTTATTTTTTTTTTTATTTTTTTTCATAAACATACTGTAGCAGCAGAAATTATGACTGCCACCCAGCACCCTGCCAAAACATTATATGGTTAATATCTTCCTAATAATTTCTTTGCAAAGAATTGCAATTAGGAGAAGCAGGCATCAGCCAGCCCGTCTATTTGCCAGCCACCCAACACCAAAGAGTCGGCTTCTTCTCGCAAGCGCCACGAAAAACCTCCCGTATGGAATTTGGTTCAGAAACCCCGTGGAGCGATGGCCCAGCAGGTCATGGTACGGCGAGCCAGGGAGTCATGCCTCTAATGGGATACCCTCCAGCGCAGCCTTAAATTCATCAAGGTGCTCAAAAAAAAAGTGGATTAGAGCTACTCGAGACGGACAGTGTTAGCGGAGCTTTCCTGGGGACGTGTTTAGTGTCTCAGGGGTGGGCGAGGTTTGTGGTCCTGGTAGGGAGAGGGGGCTGCTGGGGTCAGGGGAAAATGGGGGTCAGCTCCAGCCAACAGCAGGGAGCGAGCGGGTGAAGCCTCCGCCGTTGGGATGGCCGTGAGCCCGGACGCTGGGCGCCTCTGGGACTCCCGGGTGGGATTCCGGCGCACGCTCCCCGTGGAGCCGCTTGCCCGACTTGGCTGGATGCTGCAGCTGGCAGAGGGAGCCCACGAGGTGAGGTTTAGCCCGGGAAACCTGTAACGCCCATTCTGCAAGAGTGGCTCATCCCACCTGGTCGCGTCAGGGGCAGCTCCGGCTCTGCCTGTTTGGAAGGTCTCCCCTTCAGGAAGTTACCCCGAAAAGATGCCGCGCAGGGCACTATAACCAGCTCAGTTAAGCCTTATCCAAAGACAGAAATAGCTGCAGCTATGATCAAAGCTCCTCTCCAGAAATTCACCATCCTGCTGGGAGACTAAGCCAGACTCTACGCTTGCTGCCATTTAGTCCTAATGTTTCCAGCAGGTTTAAAGCAAAACGATGATAAGCTAGTCAACTTACTCATTAAGGTACCCGTGTAATTTGCTCCTAAATACTGGCCATATCCTCTAGCACAGCCAAAATCCCCAGGTGGCTTGTTCTGCCCATCAGGGATTGGACAGTGGATGCCCATGTAGAATTTGTTTATGGGGTTCCTCACATAACTCTGAGATAAATGGAGACCAAGGAAACAAAACCTACAGCCCCTATAGAGATGTGGGAGCTGCTGGCAGAGCACTCTCTAGCAAGAGCTTCTCTCCTTGGTTATACTTTCTTTCCACATTCCCCAAACAACCTCAGTACAGCCAATCTATTTCTGTAGCTGTCAAAGAAGGACTTGTGCAGTCAGAACGGGAATTTTTAGTCTGTTAAAGATAGGAAGCAGAGTTCATGGGGAAGAGAGGACTGGGATGAGGGCTCAGGAAGACCATTCCTCCTCCTGTCACCGACACTGGACATCCTGGGTGCTCTGGGATAAGCCACTCTGCTGGTGTTGCCCCAGGTATCTGCAAAATAAGACTAATGATTTTTAACTCCTCTGTGAAGCATTTTGAGATCTGCAGCTGCAGGGGGTAGCTGGAAGGCAAGAAGAAAGGTAGTTCAGTTAACACTGGGGAAAAAGAAACCAACTCTCAGGTGTCCGAGGCCAGAGTTAGACAAGCTCAGGGTGACACAGATTCAGCATCAAGATTGTAGGAAGGGATCTTGAAAAATCAATGGAAGGGGAAAAAAAATTCTAAAAATTCCCAACTGTCAGCAGGGGGGACTGTTTGACCAAATGTGTATCTGCAAAGTACCTTATAAGCTTTTGAAGAAAGGTTATGTGGAACCCGTTCTGTTGGAAATCAGGCAAACTACCAGTATCTACCGTTGTGCTCACTAATGCATGCCACCATGGTGGACTCTTCCAACACCTGAACTTCACTGCAGTTCAACACAGGTCTGGGTATTTGGCATGAAATTCTCCAAGGCAAGACCTGTCACTTACTGCATTAATATAATGCTTCAAAACCATACAATTGCACATAGAAAAGGCGATCACAGGCATGAACACTGCTCCGTCAGTCTTGCTACCAAGCCAGCCGAGCAGCCCCGAGTACATCTTCTCCAAGGGAGAAGTGGGACACACGCAGCCTGTCTGTCAAGGTTCTCAGCCTCAAGGGCTCTGGCTGTGCTCCTCCTTGTTACTAGAAAAATGTGGCACCTGAACAGAAAAAGGGAAGATGTGATGGAGCTTGCAGGAATTGAGTCAGCAGTGGTTTCTGCTCCTAAAGAAAAATACCAAGAAAGGGCAGCAGGGCCATGTGTATTTAAAAACTGAGAGATCCCCCGATACACAAACCCCACTACAAAACATCCCTAATTTTGGACTAAACCCTTTAAACAGCACAAACTTTTAGTTATAAAGAAACAACTTTGTAAATCACTTTGAAATTCTTGCAGGGAAATAAGGTTGAAAAAAAAAGTAAAACAACCTTCCCCAAAACCTTTGGATGAAAAGCAGCATTTTAGGCAAACACCCCAATCATTTACCAATTCTCTCTGTCTTTCCCAGAAAAGACTCAAGAGTATCATTAGAGTTCAAATGAGATGAAAGAAAATCCATCCTCTTGATAAATAGTCTCAAACCTGCGATTCAAGTTTTCTGAAATACGGTTTAAGCAAAAGCTACTCAACCCAAAACTTAAAGACTTACCCCAGCTACGTGGGGCAGAGGACACCTCTGCTCACCAAGCAGTACAGGGTCAGGATCCAGCGCTAAGCACAGTCCACAGAACTGTTTATCAACAGAGCCAACGCTGCTCTTAGCTTCCAGTGAAACTTGTGGGAAAGACAGGCTGCTAACCTTATTTTGCAAAAGCATGTTGCATGCATGAAGCAATAAGCCCCTACAAGTATGCTAGATGCTAAAAAAACAAATGGAAATGTGTCACATTCTTGAAGAACATCAAGACAGTAGTTTTGGGAAATGCAAGCTGGAGACTAAGAGTTTTTTTGTAGATTCTGTTACCAGCAATAGAAATGATGGATTTATGAGTTTGCTGATTCAGAAGGAAACACTCTTGGAAGTGGAAGTGATCAGAGCAGGTATCTCCAGATGAAGATGAAGACCACCTGGCAGAAAAAAGCCCACATCCAGCAGATCCATGCAATGCAACACTTCACAGTACAAATTAGCACCAGCAGGACAAGCAGAAATGAACCCCATGCAACTATGTCAGCATGATGCTGGGGGCAAATTAAATCAACCCCACCTTGGAGCTAAGCTAACGTGGCTATACTGCTCGTTTTGATTGATATCAGGATCTCCATGCACCCCTGCACTCTGCCATTTGGCAGCTTCTTGGGCTTCTCCCGCATGGAGCGACACCGTGCCGTTGTCTCTCTTGCCTCAGCACCAAGATGGACCCCAAATCCACACACTGTCCAAAGAGGTGACAAAGCAACTCAGGCACAAACAACACAGGTCAGCCACCTACAACACTTTAGACCAAAGAACAATTTAAAGGTGAGGAAGACACTGGTGTTTAGTCAGCTAAGGCAGAAAGAGATGAAAGAATGGAAAAGGCACAAAGATGAGAGTAAAATAGAGATGGGAAGAATTAAAAGAGCAAAGGGATGGGGCAGATCTCTGGATCTGAAGTCAAGAAACTTGAATCCAAGAAAGAGGATGAAAAGACCTGCAAAAGAGGACAGTGTAATCTACAACTGAAGATGCTGTTGATGACATGCTGCATAATGAAGTAGGACATTAGGAAGCCAAAAGATAATGGCTGCTTTAATTACATAGACAGCATTTTTGTGGTTAAGACAGAGTACGTTGTAGAAGAAGGTTAACACAAGAGGTAAAGGAGACTTTCCATAACTGCAGCAAAAGCTCAACAACCCAGATACCAATGTTAAAATGGAGGGGGAAGAAGCCCAAGAAGCCATTTGTTGTGTGGAAGGTAAGAAGGGGTTTTCTCATGGTGCATGGACACGTGCCTCACCAAAAACAAACACCAAGGTCTGACACAGACACTGCAAATAATTCCTGCAGTGAAGCCTTGCTGGACAAGAAGCAAAAACGCAGCCTCTGGTCTCTGCCACGCAGCCTGGAGATCCACACTCTTCCATCTACATTGGCTGAAGGCTTACAGGTGCACCATGGTCAGGTGAAGGAAACAGTTGTTCTTTTTCCAAAAATACCTCTTAGTTGCTTAACACTGTCTCTCCTTTTGACAGCATATCAGGGCTCCAGAGCAGAGAGCAGCAGAGATTTATCCTCCCTTGACTTCTACTCACGCTTCTGTCTTTGAACACATTTTCAAATACAGTTGAGGTGTTTCAAAAATCATGACAAAGACCCACAACAGCTGGACCCTCAACTGGCCTCATGTAACAGCAACATCTAGGAGGGTTTTATCCCATTCCTTCTGGAGAGTAGGGAGGGCAGCTTCCTGCTTCCCCAAAGCCAGCATGTTTCCCTCAGTCTTTGGAACTGGTATGAGAAAGAACAAATGACTGGATCAAGAGGATCAACAACGGTTGCCAACAATGAAGCCATTGCAATGGTAATAACCATCCAGTCCTCATCTGTCAACACAGCATAGATATAAAGTTATCTTGCAGTGACTCCCTCAGGAAGAGACTTTAAAAAGTGCAAAGTGTGGGCAAAACACTGCTATAAGGCTCTGTCCAGTGGAGGTGGGGATCCTGGGCTTGGGCTGGGTAGGGACTATCTCTTGGCTGGGTCACCTAGAAGAAAGCATTCAGAGTAGTAATACCCTGCCGTTCGAACAGCCTCAGCACACAGAAATCAGCTCATGACAGAAGAAAAGATTTGCAGTCAATGCAATAATGAGAAAGTCTTCATAACTTCTCCCAGCAGTATTACATCTATCACCGCCAGGCCCACTTCGAGAAGGATTGAAGCATCGAGCTTGAACAAAAGCTGTCTTCCAGGCTTGTTCATCTTACGCGGAGGAAAAGCCCACAG